GAGAAAAGTGCACTCTTATACACTGTTAGTGGGAGTGTAAAATGGTGTAACCATTGTGGAGAACAGTATGGAGGTTCCTCAAAAAATTAAAAATTGAATTACTATATGAGACAGAAATCACACTCCTGGGTATATATCTGAAGGAACTTAAATCAGTATCTTGAAGAGATATATTCACACCCAAGCTCACTGCAACATTACACACAATAGCTAAGCTATGAAAACAACTGGAATCAACCTAAGTGTCCATCAGTGAGATTGATAGATATAGAAGATGTGGTGTGTGTGTGTGTGTGTGTGTGTGTGTGTGTGTGTGTGTGTGTATTCAGCCATGACATAGAAGGAAATCTTGCTATTTGCAGCAACATGGATGAATCTGGTGGGCATTATGCTAAGTGAAATAAGTCAGACAGAGAAAGACAAATATTTAATGGTATCACATATATGGGGAATCTAAAAAAAAATTCAAATTCATAGAAACAAAGAATAGAATGGAAGTTGCCAGGGGCTGCAGGGTGGGGGAAATGGGGAGATGTTGGTCAAAGAGTGCAAACTTTTAATTATAGGGTGAATAAATTCTTAGGATCTAATGTACAACATGGTAAATATAGTTAATAATACTATATTGTACACTTGAAATTTGCTAAGAGAATAGATCAAAATTGTTCTCACCCCCCCAAATAACAAATAACTACGTGAGGTGATGCATGTGTTGATTAACTTGATTGTGTAATCAATCCTTTCACATATGTATACATATTCCAAATCATCACTTATACTTTAAATATACACAATTTTATTTATCAATTATACTTCAGTTAAAAAAATGTTGCATTTCTAATACAGCTTTTTTCATTTGAGTCACTAAAGGCCCAAGGTCTGTTTTGAAGGGGATAGAAGAAGAAGGAAGAAGAGTTTAAGGATAAAAATTGTTTCCCCTCCACTTGCACTTGAATTTTCATAAATGAAATGTGTATATCAGCAGACATATCAATAATTCCCTCTAGCTCTCTCATATTTTAGAATCAACCAGGAAGCAATCTCCTCTTTATATCCTTTCCTTTAAAGTTTTCCTTGTCCTTAATGTGTTTAGTATTTTTTAACTGTTTTAAGATTATCATATATAAAATACTCATCCTAAAAAATAGGAAGTTATAGAAAAGCAAAAGGAAGAAAAATAACCATGATCCCATAAACCAAAGGAACAACTCTTGATATTTTGGTGTATTTTTTCCACATGTGATTTTGGCTTGGCTTGTATAATTAAGCTCTGGTGCAGTAGTCTTCCAAATATTTTCCTTAAAAAACGTTAAAAGAAACTTTTACAATCATGTACCCACTTGCATATTTCTAACTTGACATCTGAAATATTAAACATAAGCCTAAATAAATTTACTTCCTTTTAAATAGACAGTAAAAATTATTGAACATTTTATAAGATGAAATAAGTGAGACTAAGGCTATAATAGGAACTATAGGATATGATTTGATAATATAACCTTTATTGAATAAGGGGCAGCAAATCTGAAAGAAATTAATTTTACACATGAATTTTACCAATGTGTCTAGAAAAAATGTGATGGTCCATCAAAAATCTCATTTACATTTAAGAGGATAAACATAAGTCTCCCATGTTGCTTCCAAAGTCTGACATTCAGACTTTCTAAAATGGGCCCAAATATCCCTAAAATGGCTAAAATTCAGAGTATCTCAACATGGGTGAAATGCAAGTATTTTAGTAAGTTTCATTTTTATAAAACTAATATATTTAGGGAAAAACTCAAAGCTTTATGGTTTTAAAGAACCCTGATTAATTTTCCAAGGAGGCATCCCTGTAACCAATATTTCCATTTATTGGTTTGTTTGGTACCATGGAGGTATTGATATCCAGGGTAATACACAATATTGAGATTCAGGATGGAGGGATATTATTCTTTATGAAGGAAGAGAATGACTACTGTGAACCCAGGCTCATGATTCTCAAGAGAAATCAGATTTGGAAAGGGCACATATGGAAGCTGACAATGTGGAAACTGACCTCCTTACAAGTATGTAGGCAGACTCCAAGAGCTAGAGTTGTACACTGTAGGTATACACTGTAGGTTTTGAATTTACCTTCACTTCTAAGCATTCTTAAGTCTCTAACAAGCTCATAGGAAATAAGGTAAAGTTGACCTTTAATGCACACCTTACAGGAAATGGTGATGATTCAGCCTGTAACACCCACTCCTCCAAGAGAGCTGAATGAGCCGTAAGGTGTCAGATGCTGGGAAGAACTGAGCAGCTGTATGAAGGTACCATCCTTTGGGTGACTCATAAGATTTATGGTACTTATTTCTCTTCAAGGAGTCTACATAACTCTTCATGAGTATGGAGTTATTAATTCAGTGGTTGAGAAAATTAATAAAATAAGATAACCTTCATTTATCTGGCATATATGAAGAATGAGTTTTTTCAGGTGAACGCATCCACAGATAATTAAAATTCAAGGCCATGAAGTTAGAAAAGCAAGTTCAATATTTTTGATAAAAAGTTTTCTGAAATGAATAATATTTTCTTTTTAGCAATCTTTGCTATTTCTGACTGACTTCAAGATAAAGGTTAAACTACTTAGCGGAAATACAAAGCCCATTCTGCCACTGACCTAATTTTCCAGCCCAAATTCCATTCCCCTCAAACTGGAGAAACAACTAATTAGTCCTAAAACATCTATATTGCACATTCTGTTCACTGTATGTGAAATGTTTTCACAGCTTGGAAAATTGCTACTAATTATTAAAACTCAGTGAACAGTCCTTTCTTTTGTGTGTTCTTCAAAGACACTTATTTGTATATTCCAGTGGTTCTCAACCCAGTCTGCTCATTGTAATCATGTGGGGGCCATTAAAAAATATCAATGCCCAGCCTCCAGCCACAGAAATTCTGATTTCATTGTCTAGAATGAATCTGAGCATAGGAATGTTTTAAATGTTCCTCCAGCATCTTCTAATGTCCTAGGTATTGAAGATATAAAAATCAAAAAGACAGTATGGAGTTTCTGAAGTTCAGTGTAGAGGAAACAAGTAAATTAACTGTCATTTACAATAGAAAAAAATACAGAGTGAAAAGATACTTAATGCAGAGCAAATAAAGAAAGCAGGAAGAAAAGGTATCCCAGGATAAGTCCCTTGTGGGGCCTGCTATAAACCAACCAAATATCTGATAATCTTTTTTTTGTTTATAGAATTATGCTAAACCATGAACATTGTTCAAAGCAATTGATCTGTAATTCAATCACTATAAACAATACAACAAAAAAGCTGTTCTGTAATTAGTCACATTATATCTTTAATGCCATATTAAATGGCACATATTAGAAATGCTCAAAAATGCTTATTAAATAAATGAGTGGTCAACAGTAGTAAACTTTAAGAAACAGATTTATAATGAATATCAATGTTGGTTGCAAATTAAAACTAAGCATCATATTTTTCATGTCAAAGATTTCAACGGATAAGGCATGTGCATGTACTACTTCTTGGATGGAACAGGTAATTCTAAATTAAGGAAACAAAAGCACTGACAAAACAGTTCAGTTTCAGTAATCTGGGTTTTCCCTAACAGTGACATGAAAGTCCTTTTGAATTGGACAGTTTGAGTTCCTCTTCAAGAATCTGAAATGTAGGTCAGGGCTCTGCTGACATTTCCATTTGTCTCATAGCTGAAAATCTGAAGCATCACTGACAGGCAGGCAGTGAGTAAAGAAAGACATGAGGCAGGCGGCAAGGGTAGCAGCCTGGCTCTGAAGTGGAAACATGTGCTTCAGACAAGTTGAAAGGTAAGGAGATAATAATCATCCAAATACTCAAGAACAGCTATACCTTCCTCTTGAAAATGTATGAACCAAGTTGTTTTCTTTTATAAGTTCTTGCGATGTTTCATACAGTAGTTACTGATGAAAGTTGAATCTATAATATTGCTTGACATCATATCACTATAAGTAATGAATATTGCATATATGTTACTGGGTGGGTAGTTAACTTCTAACTAGAAACATAGGTCTGTCTTGCCTGTTATTTATAAAGAGGAGACCTACTGTTGTTTGCAAGTTAGGAAAGTGATCCCTATATTCATAAGTCATGAGGACCTGAGTTGTAAAAATGCTATCAGTTATTTTATACTATTTGATGAGTCATGATTTTATTTTGTTGTGTTATATGAAAGACTCAGGTTTTATTAAACAGATAAAGATGATAACATTAAAAGTGAGTAATGTAGATTATTAAGTAATTGAATTATTTAATAATGTAAGAAACAGGTTAACTAAATAATGTAGCTCCAGTTGTAAAATAATGGCAATATTGTTTGGGATTTATATAATGTGTTTCTTTTGAGGTATCTAGAGATAAAAGGGCTTTCTGTAAGTTTAACTGGTGATAGCACCTATGCTTGTGTCTCATTTTATCTTTCTTTATTTGGAATGCTTTTTCTCTGGAAGTTCTGAAATTTTTTACTTTTCCCAAGTTTTACTCACCAAAGACTGATATTTCTGGAGCTTGATAGGCACATAAGTCTGGTCAGGGGAAGAATTCATCAGCAGCAGTTAGAGCAGAAAAAAGTTTCTGATGAGAGAGACTAGATTAGGAGGAATTTTATTTTATCAAAGGTCAAACTGTCCTACTGTGGTAATTCACAGTGATTTTTGAAGGGTATAAAAGTCCATTCTTTTGCTTTCTCCCCCATCTGTATTATACCTCCGCTCACACCAGTACTTTTCTTGGCCTTATTTCGTTCCTCCTTTCCCTCCTTCCTTCCTTCCTTTCCTCCCATCCTTCTTCTCTTCCTAATCAAAAGTTCTCATCAAAGACAATAATAACCATTAGGCAAAAATGGAATGCTGCTGATTCTTTTATATTTTAATTATTAAAATATATTAATTATTAACACACTTTAATATTAAAATTTAAATTTTCTCATATTTTTTCCTAGATTAGAACAAAGAATTTTTCCTGCCTTCAGGCATGAATCAGGTCACAATTCAATGGGATGTGGTAATAGCTCTTTACATATTCTTCAACTGGTGTCATGGAGGTATAGTATTTTGAGTACCCATTGCTTTTATTTAAGTAAAATGTTGAATGTTTATGTTTATGAGGTATTATGCTAGGAACTATTAAGAATCAAAAATCATTAGATCTGGAAAAATTACATGCACACAAAAATTAAATGAAATGAAAATATAAAAGCCCAATCTCCCTCCTAATGAAGGATTACTTTCTCAAGCAATTCTTATGGGCATATTTCTAACATATATGAGCATTTCCAGAAGGAGCTTATTACTTTGAGTTGGCATTTTCTACCTCTGAACTATTACAACTGTTGTATGATAACCCATCAAACATTTGAACTTAATTCAATCCCACAAATCATGTATTGATGGTTACTATGTGTCATGCACTATGCTAAACCTTTTATTCCTCACAACAACTTTGTGCAGTAGTATTATGTGCTATTATTATTCCCACCTTATAATTCACACAAACATCTGGCACTATGATAGACACAGGCATAAGCAGCTTTGAGGAATCCGGGAAAGGAATCATCAGTTCATGCAGGGCAACATTGGCATTTGGGATTTTGTTTCTATTGGCAGCACTGCGTCCTGAGCAGGTGGCAGGGATTCATTCACTGGGAGACAAGTAACACAGAGGTAGGGTTCTAGACCTGGATGGAAACTTTGCAAATCACAAAAATTACTCAGAAGAGTGACAAAAACAAAACCATTTTCTGTAGTTTGAGATTAATTGTACTAGAGATACAGAGGAAGTTTCATCACCAGAACTAGAATCCCTCCAGCAGGATATGGTAAACTCCCACAGTCAGACCAATAGCTGTATAAGAAGATTTAGGAGAAATAAGGCACTAGCTCCTTTTTCTAGCTCCCTGAAATATGCAAATGAGAAGTACGATTTCTGTTTATACATTCATGTGATTAATATAAGGCAGAGAGAAAGAAGACAAGCCCCAGTGATGTGGCACTAGAGACCTGTCAGCTATCCATTAGAAACTATTTTATATATTATTGTTCCATATGCTATAAATATTTTTAATATCATGCAAACTACATTTTTCCAGGTCTTCTACCAGAATATTACGTTACCCCTGCCCAATAGCTTTGCTGAAATTAAAAATATGTTCAACATTCCTCTGACCAATCTAATCACCATATAAAAATAAGTAACATTTTTGTATGAATTATTTTTATATAATCCATGTTGACTCCTACTGATTGCTGATGTTTTCTATGTACTGAAAATTAAATGACTTATGAATTCATTCTGGAATGTCATGAAGTTCAGTGGCCCTGAGATCCTGGTTTTCTTATTTATTCCATTTTTTAAAACAGACATTTGTCCAAATCTGAAGCTTCTGACATTTTTGATATTTTCCATATATTTTCAAACACTATTCACAATGGTTCCATGATAGTATTCACATTTTTTTTAAGGTGCTGGAGATACAGATTGTTCAAACTTCAATCACTGAACTTACATAACACAGTCAAATAGTTTCTTAAAACTTCCTTTTCACATCTTTGGCTTCAATTCCCAACTGATAATAATGAAATTATTTTTATTACTACTTCAACATTTAAATATTTATAATTTATATGTAAATGTTCATTACATAGATGGAAATATTCAATTACATTTATATTACACAAGTTAACTCTTTAAGGTTTGTATTCCAAAAGTAGGGACTTTTTAAAATCAAATATCGACCTTTAATTATCACTAAAATTTTAAGATATGTTAATACCTCTATTTACAAAAAAAGCCTATAGTAAATTTTCCTTGATGTGAATTTATTTGAATTGATATTGCACTGCATTGTTATTTGAGTTATGGTAATGATTTCAAATTATTGTTTTTTGATTATAAAGGTAATACATGTAATATTTAAAACCTTAAAATATACAATGAAAAATTACTCAAACATACAGAGATTTTCATTGTTAATATCTTAGTGTATGTCTAATTCATCCATCTATTTGTTTCTAACATTACTTAACATAAAAATATATTTGCAACATTTTCTCAGATATTAAATTGATGATGGATTTTAAGTGGTTATCCAGTAGATTATTTTTCATTGGTAAGAGTAGGGTTTTATTCATTAAACTCATATTTTATAATAAAAGTAACATTTATCTAAAAAAGAATGAAAGATTGAGTAGCTGGAGAATGGGGCTTGGATTCTGCAGTGCCAGGTGTTATTTTTAATCTTATCTTTGAAAAATGGTATAGCCTTATAATGCCTCAATTTTCTGCTTTAAAACAGGAAAGCTAATTATATTTGCCCTTTGGACAGTTAGGGAAGCTTAAAGGCTGACTCTAGTCTTGTGTCATGCTGCTGAATATCAATGCAAGCATGGCAAAAACACATTATAGTAAATGAATCAATTAAAAGATACACTTGGTCTTAAAACTTTTTTCCAATGGAAGCAATTAATAGAAAATAGTGAACTTTAAATATAATAGCATATTCTCCTGAATTTCTTGTTTTGATATTTTACATGGAATGTTTTGTTTTATCTATTTGTTTCCAGGAATAACAAATATAAACTGCTCTGGCCACATCTGGGTAGAACCAGCCACCATTTTTAAGATGGGTATGAATATCTCCATATATTGCCAAGCAGCAAGTAAGAACTGCCAACCAAGGAAATTTTATTTTTATAAAAATGGCATCAAAGAAAGACTTCAAATTACAAGAATTAATAAAACAACAGCTCGGCTTTGGTATAACAACTTTGTAGAGCCACACGCTTCTATATATTGCACTGCTGAATGTTCTGGATATTTTCAAGAGACACTGATATGTGGAAAAGACATATCTTCTGGATGTAAGTGTTGGAGTATATTCAAAATCCAAATTAAAGCTAGTCTAACAACTAACTGGTAATTACTAGTCTCATAAAAAAGTAGAGAATGTAATATCGTTCACTTCTTAAGTTAGTTTAATGTAGAAGCTGCAAACTCAAATGTCTTCAGGGGCCAGGTTGGTGAAACATATGAGTTAAGGAGACTGGTGGGATCTGCGCAAGGAGAAAACACACAGACAGTCTACTGGGGACAGCCACTGCCCAGTTTTAGCATTTTTGAGGGCTCAGTATTCCCAGGTCTGTTGACTCTCCAAAAGAAGACAGAAGTATCAATTTTGAATGTGAACTCTACAAACCTTTAAATGTTGCCAATACATGAAAAAACAATCTTTCAACTCTAGATTGGCCAAGCACGGCATACCAAGCACGGCATATGGAAAGGGCAGCACCCTTAGATGTTAAGTGTTGCTCTTTTCACCTGTTTTTCACTTACGTTTTTTGTTTGTTTGTTTATATTCCAAACTAAATCAACCTTGAAGGAGATCCCATTGAGAAATTCTGAGGCTAAGATTTAGGGAGAAAAAAACAATTGCCAAACTAGCTTTGTGTTCCTGCTATACTTCTTTCTAGCTTTGTGACCTTGGGCAACTTGCTCAACCAATCTGAGCTTCAATTCCATAAATGAGGAGGACTATATCATTGTTCTCTAATTATTGTAAAATGAGGCCAATTATACCTGCTGTGGTACATATTGAATTTAAATAATTTGAAAGCATATTACTTTAGGGTATAACACCAATGTGCCTAAACCTTAAAAATGCATCATTTTGATAAAACATGGGGAGATACTGATGCAATTTCTGCCTCCTAATCCCACTGCCACAAAATGTGAATTATTGTGTTTGTTACTGTAGTTGAGAAAAAAATTATCAAGTTAATCTTAAAAATATTTGCTAAATTGCATTTCTGTTCATAATATTTGGAAGACATTTATTATAGTAATATGCGCTAACTTGTATAATTATATACTTAATTCTTATTTCTACTATTATGAAGGGTAAGTCAATAAATTCAGTTGTTTTAACCCAGAGATTTCTTCTCTACAGCCTCAGGGCCCATTTTCAGTGAAAAACAAAGGGCTTTGGGTCTTTGCATGTTCCCTGACTCCATGCTCTGGAGAATCAAATCTGAGTTCTCACTTCTTCCTCACCTCCAGACCTTAGCTACTAGGAAGAGCAAGACCACCTGAACCACCACCACCTGCCCCTAGAGTGGATGCCTTAGAAGCAGGTGGCTTCCTTGTTCTAAAATAAAGCCATTGTCCTACTTAACTCTGGGCATGCATGATTTTCAAAAGAGAGAAGAGCTAGGAGAGGTGATACAAATAAATTGAGGAATAAAAATAGTAAGTTTTAGAGTCAAAGAATAAATTTGGCAAACGCATGCCTTAAATTGGTGGTAACCTGCTAAACTTTCAGGAATTGAAACCACAGACAGACATCTTATCTGATGTATGAGGACTCTTGGCTTGCCCACATCCTCAGGAAACAAACAACCCTTAATGCTGAAATACTTTACTATTTATCCTTTGGGGGTGGAGGAGAGGGTGTTGAGAGTATATACAATTTCCTGGGAGTGCAAATAAGCAACTTCCACAGCTATGGGGAAGGGTAGTTTTTAATTTAAGCCGGAGGACTCAAGGGGGCGAAAGAAGTAGGGTGTCATTCCCTGTGTTGCCCTTCAGGTGACAGATTACTCCCTACAGCTGCCCCAGTGAGGGGATGGCTTCTGCACCCAAACACGAGCACCAGTGATGTTTAGGGACAGGGAATGGCCTCTGCTCCCCTTCTAGGACAACATAACAGAAGCACGCATCTACTCTACTGATCGTTGCTTAGAAAGAACGGCACTCTTTCCATTTGTTTACATTGTGAGTTGTAACTTCTTGCACAGACCTCTGGTTATGAGTGTGAAATTGTGACTGCCAGGCAAGAGTTTACTCAGACCCCTGGATTTAAGAACCCCTGTGTTCTTAGGCTCTGAATTCTTAGCAAAGAAAACTTCCTATTTAAGTAGGTCAACAATAGGTTTTTGAGTTTTTTTGTGGTACCCTAGAAATCACATTGCTTTCACTGGATCACTTTGATCGCAGGATATTTGTCCTGGGAGCTTTACTATGCTAATTTTGCTAATTTAGCACCACTGCTGTGAACAAAATGATTGTGTATCTTTTTCGAGTGGAGACAAATCATAAAAGACAGGCAGAAGATAAACAAGTCATTGCTTTCCCTGAAAAGATACCCAAATATATTTAAAATGTTCTGTTCTTTCACATGTAATTTGTGAACTACAAACTATTATTATCACAATTTTCATGTTTAGCCATAATCTTAAGCACATTTTAGATTCTTATCTGCGATTAAATGCATACATATTAAGGGAAGTTTGTTCTTTCAGAGTCACACCAGTCATGAGTTGAAACATTGTAACGTGTCTATTCATTTAAAAATACCACATTAAAATAAACCACACACAGAAGTTGTGTTTCCACTTAACCATTTACTTAAAAGCTTAAGTTACCTTCGCCTTAAATTTTGACCACTTTTCATCTCTACTTACTGTGATAAAAGTAGGCTTCTTACCAATAGAAGCCCCTGAATATTCATCTTTAACATTGCTATCAAGTATCATGACTGGCACTGTTAGGTGGGCCTGTGTCCTCTTTGTGGGGGGAATTGCAGTGATCTTTGCCAGAAGCATTGCAGCTCTCTTCATTTTAAATTCTTCTCATTATTATTTCATTTCTCAAGCCAATCTATTCATGAAATAAACTTTACTGAGTAGTTGCTATACACCAAAAATGTGTTAATGCTAGAAATTCAAAGAGGGAATCACAGACGCTGCCTTAAAGAGGCTTTTAGTAGAAAATGACCCTTGGCTAGACTATGAATTAACAAGAAACTTGGCCTGTGATTATTAGTGAGGACTTCATTAATAAGGGTGCAGAAATTTAAGACTCATTCTTGTATATTCCAGAGCATTCTCTGGTTTCTGGCTATATAACAGGTTTTTATCCATGGGCATTGAAAAATCTGGCAGTGAGATATAACAACAATCTGGTCTTACTTTTATAACCATAGTCACAGTCTCATCTTTACATAGCTTCACATTAACAAATATTGTGTTTACTTGCATCTTGTATATATAATCTATTTGATCTTTTGTGAAATGAATTAACCACCAGACATTTATAACCCTGAGCATTCACTTCATTTGGAATGCTGTGGAATAGCATGCTCAAAAGATTGACAGTTACCTTGTATGGTGACCAAATCACTGATAGTCTGTCTGAAACCAGAGGGAAAAAAAAAACTTGAGCACAAATCACTGTAATCACTAAGGGGCCACAAATCAATCAATATATAAAATGACTTAAATTTATGTTTTCTCACCTACTTCCTTTAAAGCTCCAATAAATTTTAAAGATCACTCTTACCCTACTTGGAGTCCAGTTCCTTCCCACTCTAACACAATGCTACAACTCACCAACATGTCTTAAAGTATGTTAGTGCGCATTCTTACTGCTTGAAATTCGTTTTCTAATTATAAAATCAAAATGTACTCAATATGCAAAGTTTCTTAAAAGTTAGACCTGAAGATAAAGAGATAGTGGAATCTCTATAATCCCATAATCTCACCAATAACAGAATCCCTCTTAATAATTTGGAATACGTCTTTCAAATCTCTCTCTCTCCCTGCCCCTTCTCTGTCGCCCCCCCACTCTGTCTTTGTCTGTCTGTCTCTCAAATGGTAGCACTATACTATGCTATTTTGCAACTTGCTTTTTTTCACTGTATCATATGGCCAATACTTACTTACTTAAACATATTCTAGCGCCTCCCAAAGGCAAAAGATGCTTAAACTGTCTTCTACAGCTTTGTTTTTGGATGCATTTTAGGAGTGTATTATAGTTTGCTTAACTCTAGTCTGAGGTAGTAAGGCAGTTTCCAATTATTTTTTTCATTATTATGAACAATACTTTAAGAGGCACATCCTTTTAGCCAAATATTTTTTGTTATCTGCGAACATTTCATTACGGATGCATTCCTAGGTGGAAAATTGTTGGTTGCAAGATATTACTCCTATTTTTAAACACCGTGATTAAGTGCTCTCCCTAAAGGGTGTACCAATTTGCATTCCCATTAGCAATGCATTGGAGGATTTCCCTGAGTCCATTCCAACACTGTGGATTACCATTTTTCAAAATTCTTGCCAATTTGATAGGGCTATAGGATACTATTGTTTCATTTTGCAATGAGGATAAATTTTTTCATGTATTTTTTCTTATTTTACAAGTAATATTCTTGGTAGATGATTTGCAGGTGAAGTGCAGGAATACATTTGTACTTAAGATAAGTCTTTGGGTATAACTTCACATGCATAATGTCTGTATTTTTGTTCTTTCTGGGCCCCCATTCTTCCATTTTTCTTCTCATTCTCCGAGTAGTCATATTTCCCAGGCACTATTGCACATGTAGGAACAAGCTAAGAGAGCCTCCCTTGAAATATGGATATATGATAAACACTTAATATTTCCGTACTTCTTTTTTTAATCTTGATCTTGGTAATTTATTATTGGGTGATGCAACTGAAAATTCCAGATGCCATTCTCAAATTGTTGGGATTTCATAGGCATCAGAGACCCCCAGAGGCTCAAATAATGTTATCAGAACTCTCTCATCTTTTCTCACCTCTAGGGTTTTACTTCCCCATGTGTTGGCTTCACTCCTAAATAGACTGTTTCATTATGACAGCAAGATGACCCCCCAGCAACTCACAGGTCACATTTACTCATAGACAGCAATTTCAGGAGGGAAAAGTGGCTCTTTCACAATGGCTCCAAAAAAAGCCCCTTGGAGAATTCTGATTGACTCATCTTGAGTCATGTGTTCATTCCCAAGGGATATGCTCCAGTTAGTCAGCCTAGGTCAAGGGCACACTTCTGTATGGCGCCTAGTGATTGAAAGCCCTTGGGGATGGTGTAGGGATGAGGCTGGGGGTAAGGGAGATGTCAGTTCTCAAAAGGGAAAGATACTAGCAGACAAAACTGATATTCTTCATAATATGGCCACTCAGAGAAAGACCCAAGGGGTACAGGAAAGGGGAAAGACAAAGAACCTTGAAATAGAATTCCATGAATACCGATATTTTTAAATCTTTTTTTATTGTGGTAAAATAGATATGAAATCAAACATATCACTCTATCCTTAAGCATGCAATTCTCTGGCATTAAGTACATTCACATTGTGCAACCATCACTACCATATCCAGAACTTCTTTTCATTGTCCAAAACTGAAACTCAATGCCTATTAAACTACTTTCCATTCTCGCCATCCTCCCAGCCCCCGGCACCATCATTCTACATTCAGTCTCTATGAGTCTCACTGTTCCAGATGCTTAAAGAAAGTGGAATCATACCATATTTGTCCTTTTGTGTCTGGCTTATTTTACTTAACCCATCTTCAGGGTTCCTCCATGTTGTAGCATGTGTCAGAATTCCCTTTCCTTTTTAAGGTCAAGTGATATTCCATTTCCTGTGTAAACACCAAACTTTTAAAAGTGAGTAGTGGAGTAGATGCCAGAGTAGAAGAAAAACCCTTTGGAGAAGGCCTTTCACAAAAGCCAAAAGGCATAGAGACTTCGAGGGGTCAAGCAGAAGCGCGATGCTGTGGAGCGCAGGCTCAGGGAGGGTCGCAGTGAGGTCATGGGATCTGTTGATCAGAAAGTCATTAATGACTTTAGCAGCAGTGATCTTGGTAAAATTGTGGGCCTGAACCTTGACTGCTTGGGGTTCAAGAACAAATGGGAGCTGAGGAGAACGCCCAGTAAAACGGACTCTTTTAAAAAAGTTTAGCTGTTAAGAAAAGGAGAAATATACAGTAGTAGCTGATGGGAGAAAACTTGGGGAGGGACTTTTGGGTATTTTTTGATGGAAGTAATGTGATTGTGTTAGCAGCTGCACAGGAATGGAGACTATAGTAAAGTATACTGAGGAAACTAGCAATGTCTGACACCAAAGTGGGTTGCAAGGAGAGATGGTAGGGATGGGATGAGGGAGGTGAGATGGTAGGGATGGGATGAGGGAGGTGATGAGTGCTGATTGGCCTGGTTTCCCAGATAAGATGGAAAGTTTATCAACTACTTGATAAAGACCTTTATGTTTCTATGGTGGCTCCTAAGTGGTACATTTTGTTGCAGATCCACCAGATGTCCCTGACAAGGTCACCTGTGTCATTCATGAATATTCAGACACCATGACTTGTACCTGGAATACAGGGAAGACCACCTACATAGACACAAAGTATGTGGTGCATGTGAAGAGGTAGGTTCCTTCCGCAACAGTTTAACACGAGAATTCCACTACAGCGTGGCCAGTGCTCTGCCCCACCAAGGATCTAAGCAATTCATCTCAAACATTAAATGTATCCTGGTTATCCCCAACACCCTAATTATGATCAGTGAAGCCAGATCACCAGAATCCTTTTTGGCCCATTAGTATTTTCACTTTATGGGGCAATGTGTTTTATAATCTTTCTTCCCTTTTTATTCATTGGTAGTTAATGGGGGACAAGCACCTAACAGTGATACAGAATGGTCCAGGTTTAAAAGGACCTTTGCCTAAGTCCCAGCTCTATCCTCCTTCTAGGGTTTAAGCAACTTACTGTGTCTCTCCAAATTGCTATTTCTTTTTATCTTTTACAGTGGGTCTAAAAATAAAATGTAATGAACAAGTTTATTCTAACTATTTAAGTGGAATTTGGCTTTAAAGTGTTTATCACAGTGTCAGGTCCAGAGTTAGCAATAAATTCATGGAAGCCATTCATTGTTTTTTTTTTTGAAGCAGAGTAAAAGTTTTATTAAAAGTTACTTAAAGAGAGAAGAAGTGCAGCAGGCAACCTCAGCAAGGACAGGCGCCTTGGAAGTTTGGAGAGAGAAATTTTAAGATTAAGTGTTTACACACTTAGAAAGTGCGGGCAACCTCAGAGAGAGAAGCGCCTCCATTCATTATTAATAATGGCCCCCAAATGTCAAATTTGATTTCTATGTAGGCTGACCATCTTTCCTGGCTTGCCTGAAACTAAGGGAGTTCCTGGAACACAGGACTTTCAGTTTTAAAACTGAAAGTAATAATTGAGTTAAAGTAATAATTTTCTATTTGGAGTTAAGGAAACACTTCTTTGTTATATTCTAACAATAACCAGAACTTCAGGAGCCAAGGAAACCATGGGGCCAAAATCTCTTGAGTTTTATGCTTAAACACAAATTGTTGATCATAAAGTTGTAGTTTTTCTTACTAAACTAAATTGGGGGAAATGTATGTTTAGTTTCTATTATTTAGAAACTGCAAAATAGAAAAAGGTTGATATGAGAAAAATCCCTTTCCCTCCCTCGACGTAAGGAGTTCAAATCTCTCTTTGTTACATTTAAACTATATCCATGTATGTCCATTAGCTTTGGACTCCTCTGCTAGTGTTAAAGATGGAAATAAAACCATTTAATTTGAAAAAAAAAGAATGGGCAAACTGGGCTAAGTTGGTCATTCTATCCATGTATCTTTTTTTGTTAACTTTTTTTTTAAAAGAATGCCTTCAGTAGTATATTTGAAGTGTACTTTTTTTCTGTTAATAATTCTAAAAAATTTCACAACCTACTTATTTTTTAAAAAGCATTTATTGGACCCTTACTGTTTGCCAAGCACTGGGCCCAAAGCTTTATTATGTGCCACCTCATTTAATCTCCTATGCAGCCTTGTGCAGTACCTATGGTTGTTCTTCTGATTTTTGTAGACAAGGTGACCGAGGCTTGGTGAGGTTAGGTAATGCATCTCCCAACACTGTGCAGCTACAGGGAAGGAGAGATGGGCTTTGATCAGGGGCTGGCCTGCCTGTCTTCTTTTCTGCTAAAGTGGTGTGAGCAACCAGATCACAAGGCATATTTGAGAGATACTATCCAGGTCTCATCAATATGAAAGAGAATTACCTTCCATCTTTCTCTCTCTGTCCACCTGTGAGATACTCAGAATGATTTTCATTAAGTGAAACAAAAAGTAACACCTTTTCATTCAAGAAACTCTGGGTAAAAACTAGACAGATTTTATGAATACATTTCTAAGCCTGAAGTTACCAGCTACATGGCATGAGCAGGAAGCTCACACTTTCATTCTAAGCAGCAGTTGAACAGAGATGCAATGAGGTACCAGAAAGATGATGGAAATACTGAGATCAGGGGTAGGTTGTGTTGTCAGAGAACACATGAAGCTAAGCACTGTGCTCAAATATTACATCTTCAATCCTTGGCTCACCCTGTGAGATTAACTGTTATTACTGCCCCCATTTTACAGAGCTTATATTATCTCTCCAAATTCACTTGGCTAAGACTTAATAAAGGAAGCAGGATTCTAACATAGACTTGAGACTTAATCTCTGCCCCTTGCCTCTGGGGTCAAGTAGTCCCCTTGAAATGAAAAGAAGTCATGAGGACAAGAAAACTAGAATTGCATTGCAAAGTCAACTTTAAGAATGTGAAAATATAGGCAGTAAGGGAGCAAACCCCACAGTTCAAGTTCACAGAGAAGCTAGATTGTGCCAAATTGACAGAGAAAGTTTAGTGCCTTGATGGTTTTTGCTATTTTCTGCGACTTTTCAATATTTCATGGAAAAGAACTCCATATCCACTAGCAGTCACTCTGCATTTCCTCTCAACTCTCCGAGCATCCTTTGTGGATTTTACTACTCTGGATACTTCATATAAAAGGCATCATACAATGTGTGGTCTTTTGTGACTGGCTTTTTTTTTACCTAGCATAACATTTTCAAATTCTTTCATAAATCAAGACTTCATTCCTTTCTATGACTGAATAATGTCTCAATATGTGGTTATATCACATTTAATTTATCCATTCATTAGTTGATAAACATTTGAGTTGTTTCTACTTTTTGACTATTATGAATAATACTTCTATTAACATTCATGTACAAGACTTTGTTTAGACATGTTCTCATTTCTTTCAGGCATATACTTATGAATAGAATTGCTGGATCACATGGTAACTCTATTTAACTTTTGGGGGAGCTGCCACATTGTTTTCCAAAAGCAGCTGCACCATTTTCCATTCCTACCAGGAGTGTGTAGGGTTTCAATTTGTCTACATTCTTGCCAACACTTACTATTATTTTTTTGGTTATCAACAACCTAGTGGATGTAGGTTAGTTCTTTCAAATCCCACTAACCTGCCCTCTCAGGTTCCTGACAATAAAATTGTGTTGTATATCTGGAACAGATACATCACAATTTGAGAAGATGTATTTGTTAGATAAAAATTTACCAACCACTACCTAATTTCCTATTTAGTCTGATAAAAATAGTCTACAATTATAAGATTATTTATTATAGATTTCTTTTGAATTCCATTAATGCTTCAAAATATATATGCTTAAATTATTTACACATGGTTTTTGAGGTATGCTTTCAGAGATATCCATCAAAAAGCGCAGTGACTTTAAAGGTTTATGCTTGATTTCTAGTTCTGAGACATATCAGTTATGATGCAAACATCAGAAAACCCAAGTTGCAGTGACTTAAACAGATGGAGCTTTACTTACATTAGGCCATCATGGTAGGTAGTACAGAGGCATGATAATTCCGGTGATACCCCAAAGACCCAGGCTCTTTCCACCTTTATCCTTTGCAATCTTCAGTGTGTTGACCTTAATCCTCAAAAGCTGCACCTCCTGGCTTCACATCCAAGTTCTAGGCAGGAAAGGTGTTGAAGGGAAAAGGACATTCCCCATAGACTTCCACTTGCATCTCACTGGCCAGCACTGAGTTACGTGTCTACTCTACCTGGATGTAAGCTTGGGAGAAGGGTGTTGTAATGCAGTTGAGGTCTATCATCTAACACAGTAGCTGCACAGTTGCTAGTTTTGTGAGCCTGGAAAAGTTATTTAGGTTTGCTTAGCCTTAGCCTCTTGTGAAAGGAGGATAAGCAATACCATACTGGATGTTACAAAACTTATAAGAAAGAAAATTATCGGAAATGGCTTGCAAATAGGAAATACGTGGAAACAATGACAAATCGGTTGTTAGAGTAGTATGTGACACTCAAAGTTGACTCCCTAGGTTTGCTTGATTTGTTTTTACATCATAAACCTGACTAATTTGGGAAAGGAGAAGATTAATGTAAAGTCATAAAAAATGACCATTTACAGGATATTATAAACAATAGTTTTATTTACATTATTTTCAAGTAACAATATTTTGGATAGATCTAGAAAGAGAAGTTAAAGTGCTGTAATAAGACTAGTTTTCCAGCTATTTTACATATGTCTATAGTAAAGTCAACTCATTCATTCAAACTAGAAATGTAAAATCAATTTGGGCAAGAATTTTTGTTCCCTTTGTTCACTGTTACATCACTTGAGCCTATAATGGGGCTTGGCACACAGTAAATGCTCAGAAAATACTTGTTGAGTCATTTGTCTGGTAACTAGAAATATATCTTTCCTGCATTTTCCCTTCACAGTACAGTTAAATAATAATAATAAAAGTTCCTATATATCTAAGACTAGAAATTTTTGCCATCTTTTAGGAAATTCAAAGTAAACTATAGTTAAACTCAGGCAAACCTAACTCAAATTTTGAATTGATTGAGTCCAGATTAGTGGAATCTTATTCTATGTTAAAGAAGACATAAAGGATGTGAAGGATTAGCATAAAAATGAACGCTTTCCTCCAGCAAATTCAAAGAATGAGTTTATATAAGCACAAATTGGAAAATAAACTGTCTGTTCATCTTACAATTAATTAAAAACATACCAACAAATTGAAAAAAAATTAGAGAAGAAGAAGTCAGTTATTCTGATTATCAAGAAGATCTTTCACCCCAGGAAAAAGTTGACTTACAATGAATTTTGAGGCTGACAGTATCAGGTTTAAAAAGGCTCTTCTAGATCCTTGGTCCTTAGGGTATTTTCCACTTTGGCACATAGGTAGAGATTAGCATTTGCAAGATTTTACTTCCAACTCATGTGGTTCTGTTTGCTGGTAAAATCACATACACAGAGAGGCATTTTACCTTAGCCCACCCACTTGTTTCACCAGGGGCAGAAAGGTGGTGCTCCTATGGCAGCATCAGAGCCTCATAATCCATCTGGCACTGGGTTGAAGTTGTAAAACAGAGGCATTGTGCCTGTGTTGCATCAAGAGCTTTCTTTCTCCCCAGGACCTTCGTAGTGACCCCACCAGCAGAGCTGCATAGCTACTCACATACTCTCCTCTACCCATTTGAATTTTGCTATCAATGAGTAGTGATAGAAAAAAGAA